TCACGAGAGGGTGACTTCTCAAAGGCAAGGAAGAGGCTGGAACGAAAGCCTCTGGCCATCGAGAGGACTAAAGGCTCAGAGATCTTATTTGGGATCGCACCGTGTTCCCTGGCCCTCTCTCAGTCGAGAAGGGACCTGTTCAGGTTGTTCCTCAAGCAGAGCAGCGGCTCTCGGCGGCTTGTTATGAGTGAGTTTGTCCTTCAGGCCACGGCCCGGGGCGTCCCTGTGCACCACGTCACAAGGAGAGAGCTGGATGCTCTTTGCAGAGGCCAGGTCCACCAGGGAGTTTGTTTGGAGGCCACTCCTCTCCGTTTCAAGAATTTGGAGGAAGATGAAAAGCCTGATTTGGGGGATGAAGAGAGCCCAAACCGACAGCTGATTTGGTTGGTGTTGGAGGAGATCCAGGATCCCATGAACCTGGGGGCACTGCTGCGCTCTGCATACTTCTTGGGGGTGGACAGAGTGGTGACAAGCCGGAGGAACAGGTACGGGGTTGGTTATCTGCTCCTTCAGCTTTTCTCTCTTTTCCTGATGGTTCCCAAAGAGGTTTCCAGCCTGCATTATTCGACATTTTCTTTAGAGGGCTTTCTAGGACTGAGCTTGAGAGCTGAATTTGGCTAGTTGCTGCTTTGCGTTGCACCCTGCAGGGACATAGTATTCCAGGCTGGTAAGGAACCTCTCTGAGTACTTTTTGTTTTAAGCCATTTTGCGTTTCATTTGTCCATCTGAGCCTTCCTATTCTCTGTAGGAAAATATATCTGTATAGCCAGCAAGATCTTTAGTGGACTAGTTGGAATTGGGTTGCAGAGCCAAGAGGAGGAAATAGAGAAACAAGAATTCGCCAGGATTTCATTTTTTGCTCTCATAAGACACTTCTTTCTTTTTTTTTTCCTTGCAGCTGCCCCTTGACTCCAACGGTGAGCAAAGCTAGCTCTGGAGCTATGGAAGTCTTCGATGTCTACAGCACAGATGATCTCCGGAGCTTTTTGAAGGTACAACGATTCACATTTTTTTCCGTTTCCTTTCAAGAAGCCTCAAATACTGCATTTGCTGAACAGAGAGGAGGTACAGGAAAAGGACTCAGTTGTTCGCAGTGTCCTGTGCTCCTGCTCTGCACTCCTGTTTGCTGCCAGTGGTCTGTGCTGTCAGACCATATCTGACAGGCATGCACCCCCAGTCCCGTTCCATCGAGTGGGGTAACAGGTCTGAGTTGTGGGTCTTTTTCTGGAAGATGGCAATAGCAGGATAACGCTACGTCTATCTCCCGTGCTCAGGCTGCGAGCTCAGTAAGACGGGGTTTGTCTCCCTTTCTCTCCATGGGGAGCAGAGCTAGCGCTGCTGCCTGCAGCCGGTCTTGGCCGGCGTGTGATGGAGGCAGCATCGTGGGGGCCAGGCACATGATGGCAGCATTGGGCAGCCTTTGGAGCAGGGGACAGAGGAGAAACCAGGGCTGGTGCATGCTGCTGGGAATCTTTTTACATTGTACCTCTGCAGTGAGGTGAGATAGGGCCCTTTGCAGAACGTGCTGGAAAAGGAGGGGGAATGCACATGGAAAAACATGATTTAAACTGAAACAAACCCAGGGATGTTCCTTTGAACTGCCAGAGTGCATCCATCCCCTGTGCTAGCACCGTGTGTCTGCCCTCACTCCTCGTGGAGGTGCCCTGGCTGGGCTGGGGACCACCTGAATACTGTGTGCGTGCAGAGCAGGGAGCTGCAGGCTCTTATCTGCCCTCCCCCGTTCGTGTGGGATCCCCCAGACCTGGGGGGGCAGTGGGGTTGGAGGTTCAGCACAGGGTGAGAGAGCAGAGGCTGCAGACCCTCAGGGGAACGGAAGCACCCGGTCTGCACCCCCAGGGTCGCTGCGTGCCTGTGTCCCTTTGAGGACGAGCTCGTCGTAGTCTGGTGTGACCACAAGGAGGCCAAGCAGAGGTAAGCCAGGACTCTTCCTGCTTGGTGCTAGAAAACCCCTGTCCAGCTGTACAGTAAGTCAGTGGCAGCTGGAGCTGTGTATGATGGTAAAATGAAAGATATATAAAATACATTGATATTTAATAGAAACAGCTGGAAGAATGACTTTGTTACTGTAAAGCTTGAGTTATTAACATTTTGAGCCATTGCAGCAGTTCATTTAATTGGACTCAGATTCACTGGCCTAACCCTTGGCATTGCCTGGCTGGTGTAAATTTGATATAACGTAATGTAAAAAGTGCCAATTTCACAGGAAATGAAGCTGGCAAGAAGCAGCAGCTCTTTTATTGTTAAAATGGATTTCTAAGAGAAATAATTATGGCTCTTTTTACTAGGGTGTGGGAGGGCAGACTGGTTCTCTGGTTATGTGAGGCACTGAGTGTTGAGTGCCCTGCCTTTGGTATGAGATGATTTTTGGCATCTGAGTTTGAAAATGTGCACTCGTGTTTGAAAACGTTACTGTGGGCTTCTGATGGCTGAGCCTGCACTTGAGAACTTTCCCTGCATTGCTCTGTGGATTAGCCTTATGCTAATTTGTTTAACACTACTCTTTTTGTATGTTTTCCTTGGCAAAAACCTTCCTAGAACTGTAGTATCAGGAAAAAAAAAAAAAAAAGCTTTTCAGTTGCTGTTTGTTTGCTTGCTGAACTGGAATAAAATCCAGAAGGAAAATTACTTTTTTTTTTTAATTCTCTCCCCCTCCTCCTCCCCACCCC